TGGCCTCTGGCACATTAGAATTTGAAAACCTTAGTGTTTCCTTTCAAATAACTCCCATCTCCAAACCTGGAAAAACAATCTCTCTGGTGGCTCTCTTTGCCCAGTAGCAGGAGCTAAGTCCAAATGTATGTGACAGTGAGAGCAAAGGCACAAAAAGCACATGAGAGCTACACATTTAACAAAACAACCCAGGCACGATCCTAATGCAGCTGGGCATCTCAGAGCAAAGATCCTTACCTTCCCTCCTGCCTCAGAGAGCCTTACAAAGGAATTGTGCATTTCCCCTTTGTCCAGCCTGCTCAGACGTGTTGTGTTCTGCCCAAGCCCTCACTGAGGTGTCTGTTGTGTGCTTGAGGGGGCTGTAACCTATCTCAGCTGAAATTACCAATCTCCTGATTCCAGGAGACCCATATCATGGGAGCAAAAGCAGGCTGCCACTTCCCTGCCTTCAGCCCATCCTGCTCAGGCCTGCCTGCTCCTCCAAAACAATCTTATCTCTGGGGTTTATTTTCCAGAAGATATCAGTTGTACATAGTATTAAACCCAGTACTTACAGTCATGGAGGCACTCCCAACAGGAAAGAGAAGCAAGCCCATAATTATCCCTCCAGTCTTCTCCAGTCTTCCTAATGCAGCTTCCAAAAAGCACTTACTGGGCAGTAAGTCTTCACTTGAGTGACTTCTTGACTCTTCGCTCAGAGTGTTTGGTGCAGCTCTCTTTCCCTTTTATAATTAGGCAGAAATATTGGCACTAATTGGATTTTATATCAAGATGCCCAATCCAAGATCATCCAGGTAGCTGTCTATCCAAGGCTCCTGAGCAGTTCTAAGCCTCTCACACTCCTGCTCTTTGGTGGCACCAACAGAAGAGCTTCCAGCATCCAGGCACCAGGCTTCCATCTTCATACTGCAAAGAAAATGGTTGTTTTGTAAGACACAGCACTTGATTTTTTAAGATCCCTGAACATTCCACTGTTCAAAATGTGTATCTGGAACTCTGATCCCATATTCAAAGTGGTTACTGCAGTAAACCTGAGCATTGGTTATTCAGAGCATGTGAGGGACTGCCCTGCAAGAGACAATGCCAAAGCTCATAGTTCTGCATTTCCAAGTGAAAGTAACACTAACATAAACTTACCTCTCTTCTAAAGTCTAACAAAGTGCAAACTAATTGTTCTGCACTAAGGAAAAAAAAATAAAATTAAAGGTCAAACTGTCTTCTCAACTACAGCAACTAAAAACCTTGAGAAAGCTTTCAGAAACATGAAAGCTCATTAGAGCTACTTCAGTTTTACATTGAAGAACACAGTGAACTCATAAAAGCCTATTTTTAAATCCTCTCTTACTTAAATCATCAGATAAAAGACTGCTGGGAGTATTTTACAAATAAGCTGTTCAGCACTTTTAGAAGCTTTGAGGTGTGCAATCAGATTGTAAAAACTAATGAGAGACTGAGGATAGTTTTCAGCTATTTTGACAACAACCTTAAAATCTTCCATGTGAAAGTGATGAAACTCTGCTTTTAATTAGAAAATTAATAATTTAATGCTTGTGAACTACACAGAATTTTTGTGCAAATGAGTTCTCAGATTGCTTTAACAGTGTATCAGAAGTGCTGAAAAAACTGACTGTACTTCAAGACCATAAAAGTGCTCAGACTTCTTGTTTTACTTGCAGTTGCAGGACTTTTAAAGTAGAATGATTATAGGTTTTGCAAGGTTTCTTGTGTCACTGACAATCTAGGTACTTAACATAAGGGAACAAACCACAACTTTGCCTAGATTCCAGGGTATATATCCAGATCCCTGGCTGTGTAAGTTAACCTAAGTCCCTTCAAATCCTGCTGTCTCAGACAAATTAGCAGAAGGATTACCATAAAGCAAACCCAACTCATTTCAACAATTTGAATTTTTTTAGACTGGCATAAATTAGAAAATTATTCAAATATAGGTTCAACTGTGAAATTAACACAGAGGTTGAAGCTACATCTCAGAATCCACTTATGATGACACAATGTCTGAATACAAAACAACCCAGGATCAGAACTGAAGATGCTCCAAAGCAGATAAAAACCTATATAAATGCAATATCCTCTGACTGTGTCCTTTTAGACACCTCATCCACCTGTCTTACATGGCTGGCCTCACTCTTTCCCTGACAGTCTCTGAGCAGCCAGCAGTTTCAGCTTGCTCTCTTGTGGCCAGCATTAGAGCTACACTAGTCCTGGTGCCATTCCCTTCCAAGGACCTGTGTGAGGAGTTCTTCTAGAGCATGATGAGCTTCCTCAGAGTGCAGGCACTCACTGCTGAACCTCACACTGGAACCCACAACTGATTAGCATGGCTGAACATGTTCCCAAGTGCCAGCTGAGAGACACAGAATTGATTACACGTGGATTTGCAGCCCACACAAAAACCAGGGGAACTTTGAGGCTGCATCAGTCCTACCCTGTGCCTCTCACAGCTGTGAAATCCTCTGACACAAATGTGCTGCCAACATCATGAGCAGAAGACTTGACAGTGTTGTCCCAAGGATGCCTCACCTCCTCAGTGTGGCTCAACAGCAGCCTTTGGGAGCCTGAGCTTGGTTATTTAAAGGTTACTGTTTGGCCATGCATTTGCAACAGGTCATGGCAACTTCAGAGACTTTCTGGCAACAGTAACTACTTCTGGTTTTTGGCTACTTACATGACTTGTTGGGTAATTTGTGTTATTTTTTATATTTTTAAAGATGCCAGATACTGAAAAGGTGAGGGCTTTAAAAGACTGAAATATTTGTTGATACTTTATTAACATTGTGTCAGACATTATTAACATCCAGAAACAGTTTTAGGTTACTAAAAGAAAAATAGTTTAGCGCACTAGAGCTGTTCTCAGACACACAGACAGAAGCATGATAACCAGAGATGTGTCACTGAATGACATTTCCCACTTAGCTGTCAGCTGTAATTTCAAGAGTGATCTTGGCCCAGGAATTCATTCATTTTAAAAGGAACTGTCAAAAGCCCACTCTGTATCAGTAGAAGAATCATCAATTTGTTGCAAGACCAGAAGTTAAAACCATTCCACCTTTTCTATTATGCCTCAAAACCATTATCATCACTCTTCTGAAACAATTAGTAACACTGAGTGATGGGGTTTTGATAAACATTAACTGCATTTATTACTGAACATAAAAAGGATAATCAGGACAGAAACTATACTTTGACTACTGGGTTACTTGATCATCAACCTTTGTAACATATGAACAACAAATAAAACTTGGGCAGCAGAGGGTTGGGAGTTCCTCAGATTAAACCCATTACTCACCAGAACAGCAGTGCCAAACCACAAAGCACACTGAGCAACAGCACCAAAACCAATCTGTGTGACCCAGATATGTCTGGTTCTTCCAGAAGTCGAGGCACAAGCCCCAGAACCACCCCATCCCCTGGGAAACAGCTCCCAAAATCACAGCAGCACTGGGCACTGCTGAGAAAAACAGACCAGCCCCTCAGCTGTCCCAGCACACAGCCATGCTGGGGCAAGGCTGGGGGCACAAGTGTGGGTTAAAGTGGGGGGAAGAGCAAGACTGACCTTTGAGGCAAGTGTAACCTCAGTTTCTCTCTCTGTTAAAAGCAAATAAGCACAGCTTTTGCAAGTAAGTGTATTGCCAAATACTCTTCTAGCCAAATTGTCTTTCTTCATCCTTCTGCTAGGAGCCAAAATCCTTGCTCTTCCTATACTGCTGCTAAAAGTTTTGATCAGCATCACAGACATTCCAACCAAGCTCATGGGTACAACCAAGGTGCAATCTTGGTCACAAATTCTAAGTATTCTCAAAATATATAATATGTATGATTATGTGAGATTAAAGCAAAAAATCACTCCTACCTCTCTTACTAAACTTGCAAATATTTCAAATGGTTCATGAAGATTTGAACTATATTTGCACTGCAGTCAGTACCACAAGGACCACAAGTGGGATAGAAATCACATAAAATCCTACAACTGAGCAACTGGTAGCAATTGGTCTGTGAGTTTGGATTACTCTTGAGTGTTTAGAATAATTATACAATGTTTAAAAAGAAGGAAAGGGATGAAAATGAGACAATTATGTATTTTTTAAGACAGGTAGACATATGCATCACTGTGACACATCTATACTAGAATGGAAGAGAAAAATGTTAGGATCATCTTAGGTGGATAAACATACATCTTGTATAATAATAAAATCATAGAATCCTGGAATGGTTTGGGTTGGGAAGGACCTTAAAGATTCTCATTTTAACCCCCTACCATGGGCAGGTGTCTGAGAGCCCTGTGCAACCTGGCCTTGAACACTTGCAAGGATGGAGCTGCCTCAGGTTCTCTGCAAGTGTCTCACATCCTCTGTGTAGACAATTTCCATCAAGTATCTGATCTAAACCTGCCCTCTGTCAATGTGAATACATTCTCCCTTGTCCTGTCACTACATGCCCCTCTAAAAAGTCCCTGTCTACCTTTCTTGTAGGAACATGTCCTAATGATGAACAAAATGAAACATATGATCCTAATATCTGTAAATAGTGTATGATTCATATCTCTTCTGGGCAGTAAGTCTTCACTTACTGCTTAAGCAAACTGCTTAAGGGGGTTTGAGAGCCCTCTGCACGACAGCAGCTCGGGGTCACACCACACCAAGCCGACACACTCCACAAGGAGCACGGTTTCCAAGCCTCATTCCAAACATTTCCTCCACCTTGGGCCTGTCCCGACGCGCTCCGGGACGCGGCTCCCGGAGCTCCGGCCCGCCCGGCACTCCCGCCTTCCCCCGTGAGGGGGCGCGAGCCCCCTCACGATTCCCGCCGCCCGGCCCGCGCGCCCGCGCGCGCTCTGCCGCGCCTGCTGATTGGCGCCCCGTCGGGCGCGAGCTTTGCCGCGCCTGCTGATTGGCGCCCCGTCGGGCGCGCGCTCTGCCGCGCCTGCTGATTGGTGGTGTTGTGCGCGGCCCCGCCTGCGCGCGTGCGCCCTGGTGCGGCTGGTTCCGGTGTGTGTGTCGGAAGCGGGGCTGTCGCTGCTGCCGGGTGAGCGCGCCCGCTGCCCGCCGCGGCCATGTCGGGGCGGCAGCCGCGGCAGGAGGATGGGGAGAGCGCGGCGCTGCGCCACAAGGAGGAGCTGAGCCGAAGGGTGAGCAGAGGCGGTCCCCGGAGCTGTCGCCTGGGGTGCAGCAGTGTGAGGCAGAGGAGGGCGGGTGCTGCCAGGGACCGGGGTTCCTGTGCCCAAGGCTGTGCCCTCGGGCCCCGAGAGCGGCCTGCGTTTAGCGAGCCCGTGTTGCCTCGCTGATAGCTCGCTTGCCAGGTCGGTATTTTGGGTCTTACTGCTTGAAATGCCAAGTGAGGCGCAGTGAGGTTTTTCTCACAGAATATCGTGAGTTTCAAGAGATGTCCAGTGGTCGAGTCTAACTCCTGCGCTGCACAGGACACCGCAGGAATCACCGTGTGCCTGAGCACGTTATCCAAAAGTTATGTGAACTCTGTCAGGCTGGTGCTGTCACCGCTTTCAGTGAAGAGTTCAGTGCCCAGCCACGCTCTGGGTGAAGAACCTGTTCCTGGTATCCAATCTGAACATCCCCTGACCCAGCTCCAGGCTGTTCCCCTTGGTACTGTCGCTGGTCACCAGGGAGAAGACATCAGTGTCTGCCCCTCCACTTCCCCTCCTAATGAACTTGAAGACTGCTGTGAGGTCTCCCCTTCAAATACCCCCACCTGCTTCTCATATGGCTTCCCTCTAGCCCTGTTCAGCTTTGTCTGCCCAAAATGTCCCAAGGGAGTTCAGCCATAAAGGCTGGTCCTCTCATTTATCCACTCCCTCTTCCCTGGTGCCCACAGCCTTGTTCAGTATGCAATAAGGCAAGCCTGTGAAACTTTCACTCCTAAAAACCTCATATCAACCTGCCAGTGTTCCAATAGGGCCTACAGGGAAGCCAGAGAAGGGGCTCTTTGTAAGGAACTGTAGTGATAAGACAAGGAGCAATATGTACAAATTGAAAGAGGGCAGATTTGGGTTAGGTACTAGGCAGACATTCTTTGCTGTCAGAGTTGTGAGGCGCTCACATGTTGAGAAGCTGTGGATGCCCCAACCCTAGAAGTGTTCAAGGCCAGGAGCAGCCAGGTTTAGTTGGGTGTGTCCCTGCCCATGGCACGGGGCAGGCTGGGACTAGATGATCTTTAAAGTCCTTTGCAACCCCTTAACATTATGTGATTATATTTTAAAAAAATTACTTCTGCATGGGCACATATAGAGACAGTGATGTTTTTGATTGCCTGGAAGCTGCAAAGCTGGGACATCACAGAGCTGCAGGTTGTCACTTCTGTTGTGCCTAAGTGGTTTAGTCCATAGCAGAGGATGGCTCTGCTGCTCTGCCTTGTTGGTGTGTAGATACAAGAGACTGATGTAGCTGCTGGAAAAGTTGTACTTTCAGTGTGCCATATTCAGTTTGGCTGACCTTACTCTGTGGCTTTTGAAGGTAGGAGAAATACCAATGCATGCAAAATAGCCTGTTTCTAGAGAAATTAAGTGTGTAACTTTTATACTTCAGTGATTCAGCTAGACATGCATGTGGCTGTCTTAAAATATCAGTAGACATGCTCACCACTAGGATTGATATGATGTCTTATTTTTGTCATTAAATTCAAATGCAGCTTTGCCTTTCAGATTAAAGAGCAGAAGGTTGTAGTCGATGAGCTTTCTAATTTGAAGAAGAACCGGGTAAGGGTTTTACAAATTTGCTTTTAACTATTTCACTTTAGCAGAGAAATAATCATAAAGGCAAGAGGGGCAAAAGAATCAGAGCATGCTGTCTTTAATTTGTTGTAATCCAGATTTTTATAAACATGTGGTCAGGTGTGCTCAGAATAATTTGTCCTGCAAATTATTTGGTTATGTATACTTGGGCAGTGTTGGGGTTTTTTGCTGTTTTATGTTTTATTTGAGTTATTTCATTAAGATGTTTGGATTCATGAAGTATTCTTACTTTTTCTGTGCATTTGTTTAAAATAGAATGTGATCCCTTGTGGATGAGGAAAAGAGAAATTCAGACTTGTCTTAGGTTGAGCATTAAATGCTTTTGATGGTACAGCATGAGAATGCAGGTGTTCACAGGGCAGAACTTACCCCTTCACTTTTGTACCAGGAGTGTCTCTTTGGACCCACACCAGCCTCTGCTGCAGTGTGGGTCCAGGATCTGCTGCTTTCACTTAATACAGTGTGGGTTTTGTTTTACAGAAAGTTTATAAGCAGCAACCCAACAGCAACATATTCTTCCTTGCAGACCGGACAGAAATGCTGTCTCAGTCCAAAAGTAAGTTTGCAGTGTAAAAGTATCTCAAATAGTTAATGTTTAAAAGTTGCATTTGTAGCTGATTTCAAAGGCATGCTAAAACGAGAAAATTGCAGCTGTGTGTCAAATACAAAGTAATAGGAGAATGGATAATAGAGGTGATGATGGGACAAGCATTAGAAGAGTATAAATTTAGAAGTATAAATTTAATTTTCTGGAGTGAACAATTGCTGCTTCTCTTTGCTTTGATTTGGATTAATAGCATTGCCATTTTTATCATCAGTTCCCTTTTCCTACTACAAATGTTGAAGTCATAGTGATTATATAAGAGTTGGCCATTCTCCTATTGCACTGTGGCTTTCTTTGGAAAAAAAATCATCATCTTTGTATAATTAAAGAGGAATATGCTACAGCAAGCTTATATAGCTTGTGTTGGTAGTTATGGAACACAAACATAGCTCTTTGCTTAATTAGTGTTTTATGTTTATCACTTTAATTGAAAAAGTGGCTGGAATTATTAATGTTGTAGATATACACTGAAATTTACCTATACATAAACGTTCCTTTTTGTGAAACTGATTATTTGTGTGATTTTCTCTTACACAGACACATTAGATGAATTAAAGAAGGCACATCAGGAGCTGGAAAATTCAGAAAAGGCTAAAATCAAGAAGTAGTTGATGTGAATTGCCCGTTGCAATGTGTGGCATTTGCTGTGTTGTTACCTTGTGCAGCCAGTGTGCGATCCAAGATTTCCTCAGTGAAGACATCCTCTGCCATCTAAGAAGAAGAGGCCCAGACAGTAGCCAAGAGTTGATAAAAACTGTGTCTGATCTCTCTTATCAATGTCTGTTTTCAGGCCATGTACTTCACATGAGGGGACTGGTGACTCCTCAGCCTCTGGAAGATGCCAATAACAATGTTTTTCTTTGGAATGGAGAAATTTTCAGTGGAGTGCATGTAGGAAATCTAGAGAATGACACTGAAGTAGTGTTTCATCACCTGGCTTCATGCAGCAGTGAAATGGACATTCTGTCACTCTTCTCATCACTTCAGGGTCCCTGGGCTTACATTTATTATGAAGCAGCCAGCCACAGTTTATGGTTTGGCAGAGATTACTTTGGCCGTCGTAGTTTGCTTTGGCAGTTCAGTAATGAGGTTGACAGAGCTTTCTGTCTCTCATCTGTAAGTGGTTGTTCTGAATCAGGCAGCCAATGGCAAGAAGTCCCAGCATGTGGAATTTTCAAAATTGATCTCAAAGCTTGTGCAGCAACTAAATCTTTGTCTTTAACATTGTTTCCATGGAAGTACATCTGCAGAGAGAAAGCAGTAGAAGAAACATGCATTAATGTTCTTGACCAAGTGTCGAAAGACTTACCAAACCATGTACATCTCGTGCTGAATGAATCAAAGCTGTGTCTTAGAGCACCAGTCATCCCCTTAAATAAAACAGGTGCATGTCCAAGCTCTAATTTTAGCAATATTAACGGTGTGGTTTCTGTAGAAACCCTTCAAGAATTTCTTGCAGAGGAACACAAGAAAAAATTAGCCTGTCAATTTATTGATGTTTTAAATGAAGCAGTCAAGAGACGAGTCCTGTGTCTCTTTAGAGATCCAGATCAGATAACAAGAGAAGTTCCAAGCATGTCTCATAAGAGAGCACATATTGCAGTGCTCTTTTCTGGTGGCATTGACTCTATGGTTATTGCAGCCCTGGCTGATAAACATGTGCCTTTGGAAGAGCCAATTGATCTTCTTAATGTAGCTTTCATGATGAAAGAGCAAGCTAAGCACAGGGGAACCACTAAAAGACAAACTGGCCGTGAAGTACAGCTTGATTTGCTTTGTCCTCAAGAAAGCTCTCAAGATCCTGCTGCTGACACTGGTACTCATTCATCCTGCTTTGATGTTCCTGACAGAATCACTGGTAGGGCAGGACTGAAGGAATTAGAAGCCATTAACCCTTCAAGAACCTGGAACTTTGTGGAAATTAATGTTACACTAGAGGAATTGAAAAAAATGAGAAAAGAGCATATTAATTACTTAATCTATCCACTGGATACAGTCTTGGATGACAGTATTGGCTGTGCAATTTGGTTTGCTTCCAGAGGAGAGGGCTTCATTAGTAACCAAGGAGAACTGAAACCATATAAAAGTCCTGCAAAGGTATTGTTTTGTTTTATTTTCTGCCTAGTGTTTGACTTCTGGATGGAAAAACAGTTTTGTTGATTTAGAAATCAGCTGGGATTTTTGCTATTCATAAGGCTTCTGAAATTCAGTGTCGGAATGTAGAATATTCTATAATTACAGTATTTGTGTAATTCTAGAATTAAAAATCACATTCAGTTCTTTTGTCATGTAATGTGAATGGCTTTTCAGTGAACTTGGATATGCAATAATGTCCAAGTTGGATATATGGAAACAAATATATATGGAAACAAATGACCACCATCTATAATTTTTGTTTCTGATTTCTCACTTCTCTGTTCCTGATGGTTTGTGTAGGAAAGAAGGAACTGTTCATTTCAGCTGTTGAAGGCACAGAAATGGGCCAGATGTAATAGTGTTTTTTCTCTTGATAAAACATTTTACTGTACTTACTGAGTAGTGTAAGCCATTTTTACTTTGTGTAATGTAGCTGTTACTAACCCAGTAGTAGTAAATTAATAGTATTCTGGGTGTACATTCAGGTAACTACAACATGACATAGACTTTGACTCTGGTGTTTAACAAATGCTGTTTATTATCATAGAAACTAACAAAGACATTCTTCAAATATACTGGTGTATTTGTGATGAATACGGCATTATTTTGATGGTTTTTTCCTTGCTCCACTAGCAATGTTTGTGTGTACTTTAAGGTCTGATAATTTAAGTTACCAATGACTGTACTGGGAATTGTTTTAGGCTTTGTATATGTGTAAGGCACAGCCCATTCTGATAAGTAATACTTTTAAAAGATGTGTATTAAATTTCTCATTAAAATGTAGTTAAACCTTTAAGGTCTGTTACAAATTAACTTGCATTGATACTAAGATTTCTTCTGTTTCCTCAGGTTGTGCTTACAGGAATTGGAGCAGATGAGCAGCTTGCTGGGTACTCTAGACATCGTGTTTGCTTCACCAAAGATGGCTTAGAGGGTCTTAATAAAGAACTTGAAATGGAGTTAGGGCGCATTTCTTCTCGAAATCTGGGCAGAGATGACAGGATCATCGGTGATCATGGAAAAGAAGCCAGGTATTACTGTTTTGACTCAGAGCAAAACTGATTTTGCTGGTTAGATGCAGTTTTTCACACCCCTAACAAAATCTTAATTGAAACTTCTGTGTGTTTTATTGTCTCTAGTTCTGCTGCAGTTTTGTTAATGTGTACTGTGTTGTGCAGTTTTTGGTTTTGTTTTTTAAAAAAGTGGTCTGTAGTACATTGTGGAAGAGTTTACTTAAGGAAATTTAGCGACTTGATTTCCATCTAGAAGTTTTAAGAAGAAACAACAGATGTTGAAATAGGCAAATTCTAGCTGGTTTTATAATTCTAAGCTAAACAGTCTTTTGCACAACTTTGAAGTGTTCTGGTGTGGATCTTCGGGGAGTGTCTCTGGAGAAAGACAGGGTAACAGGAGCTGTATATTCCTATCCCTGCAGTAAAGCATAGTCAATATCCACCACATTTCCTGGCTGTTAAGTCCGAAGAGTTGAAGAATCATTTTATTTGTGCCTACTTCTCCATGCTGCCATCAACTTGAAAAAAATTCCTTAGGTCTAGTCCAGGGGCAGAGGCCACTCAGGTGCATGAAAGGTTTTCTCATGTGATCTTTGTGCCAATATTTTTCCAAATCTTAGTTGCACATTTTCAGTTCAGCACAAGAAGGGTTGCAGTGGTGGACGTGCAGTGCTCTTAAGCATGCACATGATTAGGTGTGAAAGCCTGAAATTCAGAATGATACCAGCATTTGTTGTGTAAATCTTTTTGTTTCACAGTTACAGTGTAGTTTCACACGGTCTTTGCATGTGGTAAAGGGGAAAACCAAGACTATTCCTATGGAATTTTTAAAGGGTTTTTACCCATGTAAATCTCTCTTTCAGGTTTCCTTTTCTTGATGAAGATATTGTCTCATTCCTCAATTCTCTGCCCGTCTCAGAAAAAGCTGATTTGACTTTACCTCGAGGAATTGGCGAGAAACTGATTCTGCGCCTTGCAGCCAAGGAGCTGGGCCTGACAGCCTCAGCTGTCTTGCCAAAAAGGGCAGTACAGTTTGGATCTCGGATTGCAAAACTAGAGAGCAACAGTGAAAAAGCATCTGACACATGCAGCAGGCTGAAGTTACTTTCAGTAGATTAATTGTAGAGCTGTATCTGGAGATGTTGCATTTATTCTATACACAAAGTCAGTAAATCAAGTTTTCTTACAATGTTTGGTCTGGGCTTTTTTTACACACTTGGGCATAATTATTAATAATCAGAGTTGTACATGTGTGTCTGTACAAGGAACTCACTATGAATGCATCCTGTGCTTTTTTTTGTTTTAATACTGAGATGCTGCTTTTTGTTTTAATACTGAATGCTTAGTTTATAGTAACTGGAATTACTTTGGTGATTGCAACACAGCATTTGTTTCTCTGACAGCTGATTTCAACACTTGTAATCCAAGTATTGTCCCTAACCATAACAGCATTGAAACAGTTTTCATTGAACTATTTATTTTATTAAGTTACTTTTTAAGATGCCAACCATCGGATCTCTTTTAGTTTTGGCACTTTGATGGAATCTTCTTCTACTCTTTTTGAAATATCAATTCCCAGGGGAGCTCTAGAAAACAAAATTATGTATTTGTTAAAAATTAACATCGCCATTGCCATATCACACAGAGGTACAGCTTCACAGACCTTTTTTACAATTACATGAGAGTCAAAGTATTTCAGTACAGTCCCTGCACTTCTAAGACTGTGACCATTAAAACAATCCATCTCAAACTGCAACTGGAAATATCTTTACAATGAGGAAATATTTGTGTTTGTAGCCATTCCAAACTCTAGAAACACAGTTGTGATTTTCAAAGCCATCTTCTGGGCCTGTTGTTCTATTTAGATTCTGATTTTAGTTGATAATTCATTTTATGTCCTGCTGATGAATGTAAAACACTAGAGATTCACAGGTAACTACTAAGATAACCTTAAATAATTCATTGTCTACAGCAAGTAAAACTTAGTTTTTTATTCACTGAAATATATACAGCAAATTATTTTTGAAGTAGAGTATTTTATAATTTTTCATCTGAAAACTGTAATATATTTTTTTTGTATCGAGACCATCCAAATCTCTTTTTCTGAAAATGGAAAGGGAAAAAAAACCTGAAAAAATTCCAAAGTTTAATACCAGCTGGTACTTCTGAAATATCTGCATTTTGTTTGGCCTTAAGCCAAACATCTATACAATCATAGTAGGAAAATACATAGAACTGTTATGATGTATGATAAATTAAATTTCTGAGCCAAAACGAACATAAATACCAGCCATGATCATTTGTATTTAAAACTGCCTTAACTTTTAAAATTTCTTTGTGCTGCAGAGAGACTCCTCAGCAGCTTGTGCCTGTTTTTCATGTGACCTGTTCCCCCTTCCCAGCCCACAGTGAGGACAGAGCCTGGGAATGAGCAGTCAGTCCCTTACCTTGGCTCGTAGCGGATGCCAGCAGTGCTG